TAGAAACATTTCAAGGAGAGTGTGAAAAGACATGAAAAAGAGGTTAATTAGGTAAGGGGGGGTGGGTAAAGGAAAGAGGATGGGGGGAAAAGGGGAAAAGAAAAAGAGACGATTCAAAGACATTGATGGAGAGAATTGAGAGATAGAAAGAAAACGAAGAGAACCGGAGAAAGAAAAGGATAAAAGAAAGATAAATGGATCAAAGAAGAAAGACAAAGAAGAAGAGAAAATCGGAAAGAAAGATACAGAAAAAGAAGAAAAAGAAAGCGGGAGTGAAAGGGACCCCTGGGTAGGACAGTGCGACGGGGGAAATCCGGACAGAAGGGCGAGGGAAAACTAAGAAAACAAAGACAAAGCCGGGGGGAAAGGAAACAAGGGAAAACAGGGGGGGGGGAGTGCGGAGAGCGAGGGAAGGGAGTATGGAGAAAAGGGATAAAAGGGGGGGAGAGAAAAAGGAGAGAAGGAAAAAAAAGATAGAAGAGAAAGAAGAAAAAGAGAAAGAAAGAAAGAAAGAAAAGAAAAGACAAGAAAGAAAGAAAGAAAGAAAGAAGAAAGGGAAAGAAAAGAAGAAAGAAGAAAGGGAACGAAAGAAAAGAAAGAAGAAAAAGAAAGAAGAAAGAAAGACAGAAGAAGAAGAAAGAAAAAGAAAGAAAAAAGAAGAAAGGAAAAGATAAGAAAGAAAGAAGGAAAGAAAGAAAGAAAGAAAAAGAAAGAAAGAAAGAAAGGGTGAGCGAAGTGTTTAAAAAGAAAGAGAGTGTGAGGAATTGATGTCCAGCCTGGGAGAGAGAGAGATCAAGTGAGAAGACAACTGTTGGGGCCAGTTGTTCCACACACACATACACACACACCCACACACTACTGTAGGTAATACACACACACACACAAACAAACACCACAGCAACACAGAGAGGAACCATTTGTTTTCCCTCTCACACATAGGAGCCTTTGTCTGTCTGGACTCAGATGTTTGTAAACAGACACACAGACAGTTCACTCCCAACCACAGCAAATAACAGATCTACAACAAAATATACATAGAGTACAGTACATTATAGTCATATGTAGATCTGCTGTTTATACAGGACAGTCAGTCATTCCAGTCCATGTCTGTTAGATGCACAGGGTGTGTGTGTGTGTGTGTGTGTGTAGTACTCAGGGGAAGTGGTAGCAGGCGGGCGTAGCTAGGCGAACACAGGGGTTATTTGAGATCATTAGGCAGCTGGCAATACTCGGGGGACTGACTCGTATGATCCAGTTAAGAGAAAACAGAGGACTAGCGAGAAGAAAAGAGAAGAGCATCAGACATAATACACTAAGCTATCTAATCCTCAATCTATTCTCACTATCACTCTCCTCTCTCTCCTCTCCTCTCCTCTCCTCCTCTCTGATCATACCTTCCCTTCTTCTCTTGTCTCCTCTTTTCTCTCTCCAGTGCAGCTGCAGCTCAGACAGCTGGGAGGGTGGGGTGTGCACCAGTGTGTGTTTGTGTGTTTGTGTGTGTGTGTGTGTGTGTGTGTGTGTGGTGTGTGTTTGTGTGTGTGTGTGGTGTGTGTTTGCCAGTCTCATGTGGGAGAGGGGGATTCACAGAGAAACTAGGCATTGTTTTGACAAAGATAGTGAGTGTGTGTGTGTGTGTGTGTGTGTGTGTGTGTGTGTGTGTGTGTGTGTGTGTGTGTGTGTGTATGTGTGTGTGTGTGTGTGTGTATGTGTGTGTGTATGTGTGTGTGTGTGTGTGTGTTTAGCTCTATCCTTCTATTTATACTTACATGTGTTCTTGTGTGTGTGCACGCATGTGCATTTGTGTGCGTGTTTTTTTCATCAGGAAAGAGGCCGGATGGTGGTAGGAGCTAAGACAAGTGGGTCTTATTTCCATAGCAACGGGAACATATCTTACCCATAAGCGAAATTCATTAATTATGCCTCTTTTTATAAGAGACCTTTATTTTCCAAGACAGGAATTAAAATTCACGCTCAATTTCCTCTCATCTCAAGAACTGCACCGTCTGACTGAATCACCTCTCCTGCTGCAAGGGAGACAACTAATAGGCCAATGTTCTTCTTATTCCTGAGGAATAGTAACACAACCCTTTACACTTTATCTGAGGTGTGTGTGTGTGTGTGTGTGCGTGTGTGCGTGTGTGTGTGTATGTGTGTGTGCACATGCTGGTTTGTATGTGTGTGTGTGTGTGTGCGTGCGCTTGTTGGGAGGTGTGTGTGTGTGTGTGTGTGTGTGGCAACAGTAAGTTAGACAGCCATCATTGAGAGAGCTAATGGGGAAATGTTTATGCCGGAAGAATATCATCCGTTTTTCTGCATCATTACCATCAAAGATTACATTTAATCCATCATACCTTTCCTTATGTTTACTGAGAGTGGTTGAGGGCTGAGCAAAATCTCTGTGCTAACAGAAGGTGTTTCAGTACGAATAATAATGACAAATTCACTTAAACTGAAATCTTACCCTTCTGTAATTCTTTCAGACAGACACAGGCCCAGATCTAGATTTGAGTTATCTGTTAATAGTACAATCAAGGCCTGTTTATTTGTCCCAGGACTGATAAGACATTTGTTGGAGGAACAAAGCAGGATGAGGTCCCTTTCCTCTCCCTCTCTATCACACTTTCCTCACGCCCTCTATCCTCCATCAGACGGGCCGCACCACGCGCGGGCCGCACCCCGCGCGGGGGCACCCGAGCGGGGCGGCACCCCGCGGTGCCGCAACCCCGAGCAAGCAAGACGGGCCTCACCCGCTGTCGCCTCACCCCTAGCCCATCAGACGGGCCTCACCCGCGGGCCACAACCCCGAGACGACACACACTCGCCAACACCTAGGGCCCACACACCCGCTATGCCCCCATCACACTTTCCTCACCCCCTCTATCCTCCATCACACTCTCCTCACCTCTAGTTCCTCACCCCCTCTATCCTCCATCACACTTTCCTCACCCCTCTCTTTCCTCACCCCCTCTATACTCCATCACACTTTCCTCACCTCTCTCGTTCCTCACCCCCTCTATCCTCCATCATACTTTCCTCACCTCTCTCTTTCCTCACCTCTCTCTTTCCTAACCCCCTCCATCCTCCATCATACTTTCCTCAGAGAGAGAGAGAAAGAGAGAGAGAGAGAAAGGGAGAGAGAGAGAGGGAGGGAGAGAGAGGGAGGGAGGGAGAGAGAGAGAGAGCGAGGGAGGGAGAGAGAGAGCGAGAGAGAGAGAGGGAGAGAGAGAGGGAGCGAGAGAGAGAGCGAGAGGGAGAGAGAGGAAGAGAGAGAGAGAGGGAGCGAGAGAGAGGGAGAGAGAGAGAGCCCCAGGACAACAACAACAACACAATTAGACCCAACCAAATCATGAGAAAACTAAAAGAGAATACTTGACACATTGGAAAGAATTAACAAAAAAACAGAGCAAACTGGAATGCTATTTGGCCCTAAACAGAGAGTACACAGTGGCAGAATACCTGACCACTGTGACTGACCCAAAATTAAGGAAAGCTTTGACTATGTACAGACTCAGTGACCATAGCCTTGCTATTGAGAAAGGCCGCCGTAGGCAGACCTGGCTCTCAAGAGAAGACAGGCTATGTGCACACTGCCCACAAAATGAGGTGGAAACTGAGCTGCACTTCCTAACCTCCTGCCAAATGTATGACCATATTAGAGACACATATTTCCCTCAGATTACAGTGAAAACAAACAAAATTTTTATAAACTTACTTATCTACTGGGTGAAAAACCACAGTGTGCCATCACAGCAGCAAGACTTGTGACCTGTTGCCACAAGAAAAGGACAACCAGTGAAGAACAAACACCATTGTGTAAATACAACCCATATTTATGTTAATTTATTTTCCCATTTGTACTTTAACTATTTGCACATTGTTACAACACTGTATATATACATAATATGACATTTGAAATGTCTTTATTCTTTTGGAACTTCTGAGTGTAATGTTTACTGTTAATATTTATTGTTTATTTCACTTTTGTTTACTATCTACTTCACTTGCTTTGGCAATGTTAACATACGTTTCCCATGCCAATAAAGCACTTAAATTGAAATTGAATTGAGTTGAGAGAGGAGAGAGAGGGGAGAGAGGTGAGAGAGAGAGGAGAGAGAGAGAGAGAGAGAGGGGGGAGAGAGGAGAGAGAGGGGAGAGAGAGGGAGAGGGGAGAGAGAGGGGAGAGAGAGGGGAGAGAGAGGAGAGGAGAGAGGAGAGAGAGAGAGAGGGGGAGAGAGGGGAGAGAGAGGGGAGAGAGAGGGAGAGAGAGAGGAGAGAGAGAGAGAGGGGAGAGAGGGAGGAGAGAGGGGGAGAGGGGGGAGAGAGAGAGGAGAGAGGGGGGGAGAGAGGGAGAGAGAGGAGAGAGAGAGGGGGAGAGAGAGGGAGAGAGAGAGGAGGAGAGAGAGGGGGAGAGAGGGAGAGAGAGGGGAGAGAGAGGGGGAGAGAGAGGGGAGAGAGAGGGGAGAGAGAGGGGAGAGGGGAGAGAGAGGGGAGAGAGAGGGGAGAGAGAGGGGAGGAGAGAGAGGGAGAGAGAGGGGAGAGAGAGGGGAGAGAGAGGGGAGAGAGAGAGGGAGAGAAAGAGGGAGGGAGAGTCCTCTGTGTGCTGTGTCAGAGGCTGCGGTGATTTATAGGTGATTTATTTGGCTCAGCAAATGGGCTTTACACACTTATGCTGATGCACACAGGCACGGACACACACACACGCACACACACACACGCACGCACACACACACACACACGCACACACACACACGCACGTACGCACCCCCCCACACACACACACACACACACACAGCTAAACAGCCTTTAACCCGCTGACACAGCTGTGCCTACACTGTTTTTTACATTTATCTTGAGGTGTGACTATTGCTCTGTTGCTGAGCAGGTCTTATCCAAGCGTGTGAAGATTAATCTTTATCCTTGTGACCAAGAATATCAAGTGTTTTATCAAGTGCTTAGTTCCACAAACACACTGAAAAATATTGACATTTGTTTGGACTTGAATGTGTTCCAAATGTGCTTTCTTCTCTGCTCTGCCTGAGATAGAAGGGAGCTGTGTGGGTTGTGAATTGAACCAATTATACAGTAAATAGTAATCTAACTATACCCCTTTCTCTATCTCCTCCACCACTGTCTTTTTCTCTCTCAGGTCCTCCTTGTAGTGAAAGAGGTGAGGGGAAGAAGAAGGGGCGTCCCAGAGCTGAAGTACAGGAGCTGAGGAGTATTCCTGTGAGTGTCTTCTATCCCCCTACTCCCTGACTATTCCCTGTGTAGGAGTGTATATCTCATCTCTCCCCCTCTCTGCAGGCTAACATGATGGTCCAGTGGAAGGAGGAGTTTAAGAGGAGGTCCAGGGTAAAGTGTCCGTGTTCAGGCTGCTGGTTGGAGTTCCCCAGCATCTACGGCCTCAAATACCACTACCAACGCTGCCAGGGGGTGAGACATGACCCACTACTCACCCCACCATCTCTCTCCTCCAGTGTTGCACGGTATACCGAAACTTCGGGTACTTTTTCGATACTAAAACATGAAAAACGGTTCGGTACTACATTTTTTTACAACTTTTGGTACTTCTGTCAAAGGTGTCTCATGGATCACGTCTGTCTATCAGCGCAGCCGATGTCTCCCTTATAGCGCGAGCACACCGTGCCTGCTGCACTTAGCCTGCACAGGGAGTCTGGGCAGCATCATGTTAGCTCCCCACTCATGCTGCACAGAAGTTAACCCACCTGAATAATGTGACACGGCATGTAGAAATGTTGAAACTGTTAATTACTGTTCGCAAAACAATGTCCATACAGGCTAGAACACTTTACAATGCAAGAAGATACCGGTAGCTTCCAGCTGTAGGCTAACTTTCTTTGCTAGCTTACAGCTGAAGCTAACATCAATTCACTACCCCTAGTACATTGTGATAATATGCAAACCATAAGGAAAAACATGCTGATTTCAAAGCTGATTGTCATCAAAACTTTATTAATTGACTTAATCATCCTCTCTCACACATCTCTCCCAAAGATTATCTATTGCCTGAGTGAACTGACTGTGTGTGTGAATAGGGCTCCGACAGGCCGCCCCCCCCCCTTGCCTCATGAATGACGTCATTACTGGTTAAAGAGACAGCGCACACTGTTATAAAAGAAGCTACTTCAATGCAAATGTTGTTGATCAGTACAATAAAATAAGTCCCAAATGGAAGGGAAACATATTGTTTGTCATCTGTAGCACCATGAAATCAGCCAAAACAAGCTCAATAACTCACTGCATTCACACACTCCTATTGAATAATATGCATTTACCTGTATTGTGTATAGACCTAGGCTACATCTTGATTTACCCAGTTTATCAATAGAGATTTGCCATTCAAATGAATGATTACCATTATGTTGTTATGTAGTTAGATTGGTAAAAACAAAGTCAAATTGATTGTATAATTGATTCATTAATGCATACATCGCTATCTCTGAAAAATGATGATGTAAAAATGTTCTAATGGTATTGAACTCAAAAGATGCCCAACGATTGAACAGAACAGTAGCTGAGTTTATCTGTCTGGATCAAGGGCCATTCTGTGACTTCGGCTAATATGCCTTCTGTTTTGGTATCGTGTATCGTGATTGTATCGAGTATTGTGATACTAAACCTGGTATCGGTATCAAAGTCAAAATTCTGGTATCGTGACAACATTACTCTCCTCACCCCCTCTCCTCTCCCACATCGCCCCTCCTCACCTGCTCCGTCTCACGCCACCCCAGCCTTTTCCCTCTGTTGCCCACTATCAGTGCTTTGAGGGGGTCTACATATTTATTGTCAATCTGTAAACCTGTTGAATTAGATTTGTGTACTTTAGACTAATCAATATCCTTCCGTTTCTTCTCTTTCTCTCTTTTACCTCCTCCCTCTTTTTTCTCTGTCACCCAGGCGACCCTAGCGGAGAAGTTGAGTCATGGCTGTCCGGACTGTGAGGCGGTGTTCGCCACTAAGGTCCGGCTCCAGAAGCACAAGCTGTGGAACCACCCAGAGAGGGTTACCGTGGAGACCAAGGCCGAGCCCAAACTACAGAAGACTCCCATGAAGGGGACGTCCAAGAAAAGGTGACCTGGGTTGTTGATTTTCACCACAACTTTAATTTACCCTGTAGGCCTAGGATTAGATTGTACCATTGTGTCTTCTCTGTCCAGGCCTATGGAGATTACTACCTCATCACCGGTGTTCTTCAAAGTGAAGAAGACCCAGGAGGTGTCTAGTCCCTCCCAGAATGGGGAGTGCGCCCCCCAGAGGGGCGAGAGGAAACAGCACACACACCCCCAGCCCCCTCAGCATCAGGCCTCCTCCTCTGACACCTCCCCCAACACTCCGGGGGGCAGCGAGAGCGATGGTGAGGGGGGAAGCCTTCTCCCACCGTACCCAGATGAAGACCCTGAGAGGACAAGGCACAGTAAGATTAAAATATAATGAATAGTAGGATATTTTGTTGCATTGTTTGGGTGTAGTTAGAAGTCCAGTGGAAATTGGGGCCCAGTGTGTTTGACCGTTTCTTGCTCTCTGTTCTCCTCATGAGCCAGGACGGAAGCAGAAAACTCCTAAAAAGTTCACTGGAGAACAGCCCTCCATCTCGGGGACGTTCGGACTGAAAGGTAGACCCCTCGGTATTTCTCTTCTCACAGCTTCTCTCACTTATGCTGGAAATAGAAGTATGCACTACTGGGTCATTGACTAGGCATGAGTGTCTCCACCTCCACACTGTGTATTAGTGGTAGTGTGATAGTGTCCTCTCTCTCTGTGTTAATGTGAGGACTGTAGAGGTGTTTCATATCCTGAGCCAGTCTCGTACTCTCCTTCTGACACATTTTCTCTCTTTCTCAGTACCAATTTTCTCGAAGCTCAGTGACTCACACTCAACACTACACATTACACGACTCTCTTTCTTTCTCTGTTGTTCTCATCTCCCTGCCTCCTCTCTCGCTACCACTCTCCCTCTTTCTGAAATCAGCTTCTCTCTTTATGTACTATCTTCTCTCTCTCTTTTCCTCCCTCTCATTTTACATCCTCACTCTTTTTCCTCCTGTGAAATGCAGCTGCTAAATAAAAGGTATTACTCTGTCATTGTCCTGGTGTCGTACTGCTCAGCCTAACTGACTCTCTGCGGTTCTAGACTCTCGGTTCTAGACTCTCTTTAACTCTGACTGTAAATGTCACTAGATCTGTTTCCCCTTTTCTCTTTACTGAACCTGAACCATGCATACATGTGTGCGCACGGCACATACACAGTCACACACTGTATGTTTCAGGTATGAACAAGGTAGAGGAGAAGCTGAAGGCTGGTCGTGTGAAGAGATCAGAGGGGGGTCTGTTCAGCGATGAGCCCCAGAGGAAGCACCCTGGCCCAGCCTCCAGAAGAGATCCACCACCCCTCACCTCTGGTACTAAAATGGCTGTTCTGGACTACTGTTTATTGATAAGACAAAATCCATCTCCCAATTTACTCCCTCGTACACATGTTTACCTCAGCGTGTTTCTGACAATATAAAGTATTGATTGGTTGATTGGTTGATATATCCTCCAGGTACTCCAGCAGAGGCCCAGTGGCAGCATGCCATCTCAGAGCGGGGGGAGGTGGTGTGTCCTACCTGCTCCATCGTCACCAGAAAGACTGTCTCTGGCCTTAAGAAGCACATGGAGATCTGCCAAAAGGTGAGTGGATCACACACCTGTCAATCAAAACAGAGGCCTAGGGTGATTGTACAAGAGAACTATATCAATCCAAACAGATGTTTTCACAGCTCAAATGAAATAGTGTCGATCTTTCCCTTTTGTTTGAGATTGTAGCCTGCAGATTTCTCTTACTGCTTGTAGCAGGATCCTCACAACAGATGGCAATAATCTGTCTCAGTTTGACTTCTGAAGGATCAATACATTTGACATAACATATTTGGATTTGGGGGTGAACCATATGTTTATGATCCGTCAGCACCATTCTCATCACCACAGTGTCACATCTGGCTTTCATTCCTCTAAATTAAGGATTGTGTTTCACACTCACTGTTGAAACTCTGAAAACCACAATTTATCATTTGACACTTGCCCTAAATCACATTCCATATGTCCCATGTTCTATATAATATTATACTTGGGTACTGTTCCACATCTGTTCTTGATTCTAGCCCACTGAAACAATTGGGCTGAACACATTCTGATCAATATCAGTTGCCATATGTATTTATAACAACATCTAAATATTACTGTACATTATATAATGCTGTGTATAAGACAAATATACATTCAGTGGCCAGTTTATTAGGTACACCCCGTTCACGGAAATGTTTAGCTCCTACAGACAGTGAGTCACGTGGCCGTGGCTTGCTATATAAAGCAGGCAGACAGGCATCGAGGCATTCAGTTACTGTTTGATTGAAAGTTAGAATGGGCAAGACGAGTGACCTAAGCGACTTTGAGCGTGGTATGATTGTCGGTGCCAGGCGCACCGGTTCCAGTATCTCAGAAACGTCCGGTCTCCTGTGCTTTTCACGCACAACAATGTCTAGGGTTTACCAAGACTGGTGCGACAAACAAAAAACATAATATACTGGCCACTGAGTGTATCACAGTATATTATATTGGCATTTAAATTATTGTACTGCTTTCTGAGATGCAGTTTTAACCTCTTCATCAAGTTCTGACTAATATTGTACTCTGGGGATGAGAATGAGTCAGGCACACTGTTAGACGCCTCTCTCTGAGGACCCCTGGGGAAGGGTCTGGGGAGCCATTAGATTGCAGAGTAATGATTGGAGGGCTGGTGGAATGATACTGTGGCTGCGTCTCAATACTCTGAAGTAGCTTCCACTCATTTAACTGTACCAATCTGAAAACACAGGCTAGCTCAAAGCAATCAGGAAAGGACACAAAGAGAGGTAGCCTAGACTATTCAGACACACACTGAGAGTGCTGTGTAGACGTAAGGTGGGTCAGTAGTAGGCACTTCTTTATGAAGCCTGGTCTGATAGGCTGTGTGACTATAAAAGTGACAGCATTGCCATTAAGGAGTGGTGGAATCACCACATTAGCACAGGGGTCAGTCACTGTAAAACCTCTTCCTCTGCCATATAGATCCATATTGGCCTGCTGTGTCTCTTCATGAAAACGTCTGTTTTACAGTTATTGGTCTTGATGATTACCTGACAAAGACCGTTATGGGTGAAATGGTTCTGTATCACTAGCTCATGTGAAGGCAGTGGTGGAAAAAGTACTACATTGTCATACTTGAGTATAAGTAAAGATACCTTAATAGAAAATGACTCAAGTAAAAGTAAAAGTCACCCAGTAAAATACTATGTGAGTAAAAGTCTAAAAGTATTTGGTTTAAAAAAATACTTAAGTATCAAAGCTAAATGGAATTGCTAAAATGTACTTCAGTATCAAAAGTAAAAGTAAAAGTATAAATCATTTCAAATTCCTTATATTAAGAAAACCAGACGGCACCATTTATTTTATTTTATTTGATGGATGGCCAGGGGCACACTCCAACACTCAGACATAATTTACAAACAAAGCATTTGTGTTTAGTGAGTCCGCCAGATCAGATGCTGTAGGGATGACCAGGGATGTTCTCTTGATAGGTGTGTGAATTGGACCATTTTCCTGTCAAAATGTAACGAGTACTTTTGGGTGTCAGGGAAAATGTATGGAGTACTTCACACCACTGTGTGAAGGTCATGCTGGGGGAACAGTGAGCAGAAATTCACTCTCTTTTCATAGGTGTTTTACAGATAGACCAATATTTTCACTGTTATTGGATCCAAGAGGCTCTGATGAATAGGAATGACTGTGTGACCTTTGTCCTTTAACCCTGCAGCTCCAGGACGCCCTGAAGTGCCAGGAGTGCCACAAACAGTTCAGGTCCAAGGCAGGACTCAACTACCATACGATGGCTGAGCACAGCAGCAAGGTACACACATGCAGACAGGCACACACACACTATCCATTTAAAAGTAACCCTGGCCTCCTAGTGGCGCAGCTGTCTAAGGCACTGCAATCAGTGCTAGAGGCGTCACTACAGATCCGGGTTCGATCCTGGGCTGTGTCGCAAACGGCCACAACCGGGAGACCCATGAGGCGGCGCACAATTGGCCCAGTGTCGTCTGGGTTAGGGGAGGGTTTGGCCGGCTGGGATGTCCTTGTCCCATGGTGCTCTAGCTACTCCTTATGGCGGCCGGGCGCATGCGCGCTGACTTGGGTCGCCAGCTGTACGGTGTTTCCTCTGACACATTGGTGAGGCTGGCTTCCGGGTTAAGGGAGCAGTGTGTCAAGAAGCAGTGCAGCTTGCCGGGGTCGTGTTTCAGAGGACGCATGGCTCTCGACCTTTGCCTCTCCCGAGTTCGTATGGGAGTTGTAGCGATGGGACAAGACTGTAACTACCAATTGGATATCACAAAAAAGGGGTAAAAAGTCAATAAAGTAACCCTGGGGGTTTCATCAGCAACATGTGACAGTGGAGGGAACTCTGTTGTGGGTTCCCTCCAGGCGTGAGGGATTGGTTTGGGATTGGGGGTGAAATGTCCTAATAGATTGATTTCTATTGTTATGCTTTTTGGCATACCTGAAGTTATGATTGATATGACTGTTCTGAAAGCATGCACATTACATTGTGGTGCTGTGTTAGCTCCCTCAGTTGATATCAACATGGCCCTCCCTGCTGCATTAGTGGAATGGTGCTCCAATTAAGTTTGTTGAATAATTCAAAACTGCTATCTCAGAAAGCGTCATAAAATATAAATGAGTGAACCTGTGTGTGTGTGTGTGTGTGTCTGTATTCCAGTCAGCCGTGCCATCATAGCTGATCTGTTTAAATGATTTGTCTTCAGTCTCTGCCTTTCATCCCATGGCCATATTGGCAGCTCTCCATATCATTATTAGGAGAGAGTACAGTTTGTGTTTTAAAGCAGTGATTCACAAACTTCCATGGCGTGTGTGTATGTATATTTGTGTGTGTGCCTTTGTGTTGTTCTGCATTACCTGCAGAAGTGGCATCATTGCTAATCTGTACCCAGTGTGTGTCCTCTGGTCACATGGCTGAGCCCCAGTGCAGTGTGGGAAAAGACAGGATGACACAGCGACAGAGGTCACCTGCTGGCTTTGATCTTGTTGTTGTACTGTGATACACTCATATTTGTCTACACTCTTAGAGAAAAAGGTGCTATCTAGAACCAACAAGGGTTCTTCGGCTGTCCCCATAGGATAACCTTTTGAAGAACCCTTTTTGGTTCCAGGTAGAAACCTTTTGGGTTCCATGTAGAACCCTTTCCACAGAGGGTTCTCAATGGAACCCAAAAGAGTTCTACATGGAACCAAAAAGGTTTCTACCTGGAACCAAAAAGAGTTCTACATGGAACCAAAAAGGGTTATCCTATCGGGACAGCCGAAGAACCCTTTTGGAACCCTTTTATTACTAAGAGTGTATCTTTCTCGCTATATCTTTCACTCTCTCACCCCTCTCCCTCATGTCTGATAAAGGTTTCACTCTCTCACCCCTCTCCCTCTCCCTCATGTCTGATAAAGGTTTCACTCTCTCACCCCTCTCCCTCTCCCTCATGTCTGATAAAGGTTTCACTCTCTCACCCCTCTCCCTCTCCCTCATGTCTGATAAAGGTTTCACTCTCTCACCCCTCTCCCTCTCCCTCATGTCTGATAAAGGTTTCTCTCTCTCACCCCTCTCCCTCATATCTGATAAAGGTTTCACTCTCTCACCCCTCTCCCTCTCCCTCATGTCTGATAAAGGTTTCACTCTCTCACCCCTCTCCCTCATGTCTGATAAAGGTTTCTCTCTCTCACCCCTCTCCCTCATGTCTGATAAAGGTTTCACTCTCTCACCCTCTCCCTCTCCCTCATGTCTGATAAAGGTTTCACTCTCTCACCCCTCTCCCTCTCCCTCATGTCTGATAAAGGTTTCACTCTCTCACCCATCTCCTTCATGTCTGATAAAGGTTTCACTCTCTCACCCCTCTCCCTCTCCCTCATGTCTGATAAAGGTTTCACTCTCTCACCCCTCTCCCTCTCCCTCATGTCTGATAAAGGTTTCACTCTCTCACCCCTCTCCCTCTCCCTCATATCTGATAAAGGTTTCTCTCTCTCACCCCTCTCCCTCATATCTGATAAAGGTTTCACTCTCTCACCCCTCTCCCTCTCCCTCATGTCTGATAAAGGTTTCACTCTCTCACCCCTCTCCCTCATGTCTGATAAAGGTTTCTCTCTCTCACCCCTCTCCCTCATGTCTGATAAAGGTTTCACTCTCTCACCCTCTCCCTCTCCCTCATGTCTGATAAAGGTTTCACTCTCTCACCCCTCTCCCTCTCCCTCATGTCTGATAAAGGTTTCACTCTCTCACCCATCTCCTTCATGTCTGATAAAGGTTTCACTCTCTCACCCCTCTCCCTCTCCCTCATGTCTGATAAAGGTTTCACTCTCTCACCCCTCTCCCTCTCCCTCATGTCTGATAAAGGTTTCACTCTCTCACCCCTCTCCCTCTCCCTCATGTCTGATAAAGGTTTCACTCTCTCACCCTCTCCCTCTCCCTCATGTCTGATAAAGGTTTCACTCTCTCACCCCTCTCCCTCTCCCTCATGTCTGATAAAGGTTTCACTCTCTCACCCCTCTCCCTCATGTCTGATAAAGGTTTCACTCTCTCACCCCTCTCCCTCTCCCTTATGTCTGATAATGGTTTTACAAATAAATGCTGGGGGTTTCTCTGTGTCCCCTGGTGAATCTAGTGTGTGTTCTCTAGCCTCAGGGTCTGACTGTGACATTATTCACTTTGCTTTGCGTTAGTGTGGGAATGACATGTATTCCTCTGAGTTGCCATCTTATCCCCCTCTTTCCCTCAGACTGGGGATGTGTCTCAATAATCTCAAATGGCTTCCTCTCCTTCATCTGTACATCTTTTTTTCTAAGAGTGTAATGATCTAAAAACACCAGTGAAAGCAAAATGGAGGATGCCCACCAGGAATTTAGACTATTGAGATGCACCTGAGAGTGTATCCACGGTTGCATTTCAATCCAGATTGTTGTTCTCTCAACATATGCACTTATTCACTGCCCTGATGTGTAGTCCCCTCCCCTGTCCTCTCTCTGGCTGTGCTGTGCTGTCAGCTGCTGTTTTTATCAGACATGTTTTTGGCACTGATAAACCCCTCGGTGAAAACATTAGTTTGACAGTTGTCATAAACATGTCTTGAGTAACGGCCTTGCCATGAAACCATTTTATGATCCTGGCACCGCCTAACGCCTGAGATGGAAAACACATTTTCCCGGCCTGCTTGGGAGGGGGAGGTGTTTTGAGGGGACACGACTCTGGTGCGACGCTGTGTTTGTTCCCCCTTCAGGCCTCGGGGATTGAGGGCCAGACGGGGGACAGGCAGGAGGAGAGAGAGAGGCTGCGCAGAGTGCTCAAACAGATGGGACGAATCAAGTGTCCTAACGAGGTATGTACGATCATGTGAATTATTCTGTGATACAAATTTATATATCTCTATATATCATATATATATATATATCGATATATATTATCTCTCTATCTCTCTATATATCTCTATATATATATATATATCTCTCTCTCTTCTCTCTCTATCTCTATTTCTGCTGGCCCCACCCCTTCATCTCCATCTACCCCTCTCTCTTTCTTTCTCTCTCTTTCTTTCTCTCTCTCCTCTCTCACTCCCTCCTTCCCTCTCTCTCTTGTAATTCTGCCCAAACACACATCAACACTGTTACCGATTACTCACACTAGAGTGCAGAGAGGAGAGAGGAGAGAGGTGAAGAGACAGGGCTGCTGAGACAGAGACTTACAATAACCTCTCTTCATCCATTCATGGGCATTTCATGTCTTTCTTCCACTTCTAACTCACTCTTCTCTCATTCAAACACACAAATGGTTGGCCACCTCTCTTGAGAAAGATAGGTTTATGTCAATGACACTATATAAAGTTAGATGAATGAAACATAGACATAGTGTGATGCTTTGTTAGACAAATCCATACTCTGCTCCACTAACCTGATTTCCAGTCTAATGTGAATTTTCAATTTCTCCCATTTTCAATGTTGCACGCACACGTATGCGCACACACACACATAAACACACACACACACACACACAGGGCTGCTCGGCCCATTTCTCCAGTCTGATGGGGTACCAGTACCATCAGAAGCGCTGTGGCAGAGAGCTGTCAGAGGAGGACAAGCCTGTGTTTCTGTGTCAGCACTGTGGGAAGACCTACCGCTCCAAGGCTGGCAGAGACTACCACCTCCGCACTGAACACCGCACCCCCCCCACCACCACCACCACCTCCAACACCACCACCACCAATATCAACAATACCAACAACACTAACAACAATAACACCGGCAGAGGGGTAAGAGAGAGCAGAAGCGTTTTTGTTTTATATCTTTATCGGTTGAGATTACACCCATAGTCGTTGGTTGAATCGCTGTGAATTCTATCATTGGTCCCTGACTGGGCTGTCCCTCCTCTCTTCCAGGTGAGCACAGAGGAGTCACAGACACAGCTTGGAGGAAGAAGGGAGCAGAACCACACGGAGAGAGAGAGAAAGGAAAAGGAGAAGTGGCAAGAGGAGGGGAGAGAGAGGGGTGGGGAGAGAGAGGGCCTGGGGGAGGACTTTGAGAGGACTCCCAGTGGTAGGGTGAGACGTCGGTCGGCCCAGGTAGCAGTGTTCCACTTGCAGGAGATAGCAGAGGATGAACTGACCAAGGACTGGGGAACCAAGCGCCGCATCAAAGATGACCTAGTACCGGACAGCAAGAGGGTAAGATACAGACAGGTACTCACACACACACACACACACACACACACACACACACTGAACATCTTGTCCCTGTCTGTCTTCCTCCCCCAGTTGAACTACACTCGGCCTGGCCTTCCCAAGTTCAGTTCCAAGCTGCTGGAGAGCTGGAAGAACGAGGTCAAGGAGAAGGGCTTCATCTGCTGCTCCAACGGAGTAAGAACCTCTGGAGAGAATGTTCTGTCCATTAAACACCTTTCAGATAAATCCTGTATTTTAAATAATCCAGTTGCTTTTACACATTCCAGCGCTGTCAATTCTGAGCTCTACAGGCTCTAAAAATTAGCAAGTGAAGGTTTTATACGCACAGTTTACTATAGTTCTATCTGTTGTTATTGTTCCTCTCTGTTTCTAGAGCTGTGAAGCTGTTTACTCCAGTGTGTCTGGGCTCAAAGCTCATCTAGCCAACTGTAACCAGGTAGGAACATCAGGACCAGTTTAAGTTAAATGGATGAAAAAATATCTGACCCTGTGTCAGTGGTTAGGTTTAGGGACAACTTGTACCTACTCCTGACTGGGGTGTGTTTCTGTGCTCTGCAGGCAGGGGGCGACGCAGGGAAGTACACCTGCTTACTGTGTCAGAAGGAATTCAGCTCAGAAAGTGGTGTCAAGTACCACATCAGCAAGACACACTCACAGGTGAGACTTACATACATAAACCCTCAAAGGTCTGATATACACATTGAAGTATATGAAACGGACCCACTCACAGATGACGTCTTCCCTCATTATTATCATACATTAAATGATCATACGTTACATTATCATACATTCGTACAGAACTGGTTCCGAGCCTCTAGCCATGTGGTGCCCAGCAGCAGCAAGAGTAAACTGCCAGAAAACAACGAGTTAGAGAAAAAGGAAGTAAAGAACTGTGCCACCACAGGAAAGAAGAGAGGCCGCAAGCCCAAAGAGCACCCCCCTCAGGCCACCCCTGTCCAAACAAAGACTCCTTTCAGCGCCACCCAAATCTCAGCCCCCGCCCCCACTCCGAAACCAACTTCAGCCGCCGCCCCGAACACAGCCCAAGTCCAGCACCAGGCCCAGACCCAGATCCCGACAGAGAGGGTGAACCCGGGGAGCCCAACATTAAACAGACAGCCCAACCCCCCCACCACACGGAGGGGCAAGACCAAGAGGGTGCCCCCTCCCTCAGAGTAGCTCTGCTTTCACTAACCCAAGAGCCAGAGAGGATGCTATCTCTCTGACTATCCATCCACTTTACGCCAGTAAGCTCAAAGACGTTATGGACGCCACAAGGACTGGGGGACAGAGAACGAAACAAAAAATAACTGTAGAAACGTGAAAACAATTAGTTCATGTGTTTGATTTCACTCTGATCTTTGTGTTTTAACCCTATACTGTATACTGTGTATGTGTCTACTGGTATATGCTGATGTAACAGTTCATTTTTTTCTCCATTCCATTTCTAAGCATAATTTCAGTTAAGCTATTCACAACAGGGGTTAATTGTAATCAAAGTTAAAATCCCACTCAATATATAAATAGCATTTTCTAAACAAAAGTCATATTTCAATAGAATTTTGCATAATTCCCTCTACATGTCTATAGATTTATGTTGTGCTTGAGAGATTTTTCAAAGGATATTCTATTAGCATGGTGAGGTAATTTACGGCTAGTGATTTTTCAATGGATATACTGTACTGTGTATATATACAATATCTATATCTATATATCTATATACTCAAAGCAATGACGTCATCCATCGTTTTTCAAGGCAGGAAGTCAAATTTGCATTTTGTTGTTTTCCACTTTGGTGTCTTGAGTTTGTTTTTCATTGTGGCAGCTGAATGCTTTTCTGATCAGTCAGCTACAGTGCAATATAGTAATGTGTTTCTGTCTCTTTCTTTGTTGTTTTTTGGCCCAGAGAACACACTTTTACGCATAAATCAAACTCTTTATTCTGTTCTTATGCTGTAGCTAAGCTAAGTATGTATAGTAATTTTGTTAATTTCAAACATTTACACTGAAATGTGGGATTTGTTTTTATTTTTTATATATGATATGAGATTTTTTTGAATTTTTGAGACAGTAATTATACACAAGAGTATGATTGGGGATGTTTACGCAAACATTTCGAAACTAATATCTGTATCTACACCAAGCAATGTAAACGGCATATCCACAAAGTTTGAAGATGTAAAAATGTTGTTGAATATAGGTTTCCACTGCTATTGTTGCTAATTATGGACTAAATGCTGAATCTAACAGTGGGAAAGTATTTGACCAGAGCTGCACCATTGCAGCACAATCAAATGAGTTGTCACCGTTTTGCAGCTTGAAGTCCGACTTGAAGATGATCTGGAAAAATCTGCTTGCTCTTGTTTGAATGAAATAATTCAGAAAAGGAAGCGGCATATGTCTTTTTATAGAAAGTTTAAGTCAGTTTGAAAATAATAATATTTTATGAAACGAAAAAGAAACCCTGCAAATGAAGTTTCTAAAAACACTTGTCACTAAAACACTTGTCTTGCACTAACCCTAACCCCTTCCTTCCTTCCCTCCCTTCCCCTGTTTTGTCTTTCTGCACTTGAAGAGCACTGCTAATCTTTTACCCCAACGTTAATGCTCCGGAAGAGGTTGCCCTTAGACACAGAGCTAGGAACCAGCCTGCCATCATTAAATTCTAACCTTAACCATTATGGGCAAAGACACAAAACTGGCCATAGTTCAGTGTCTAAGGGGCAGTTTCACCCTACACAAACCTTAACCCCCTATATGGGGGGTTGTAACCAGGATTAAAAAAGAAACAGAGTGGTGTCCAGAAATAAGTACTTTTAGTCCTCTGTGACCCGCATTCTAACCAGATTCAATGACAAATGGGAAAATAACAGGTCCACCTGTCTAACTCAAAATCCTAACAAAGCCATAACTGATCCTCAGAAATGCAAAATATTTAGGCTGTTTTACCAGTCATAACTATTTTATCGTAAAATGAATTAAGTCTAAATTAAATGTCTTTAATTTATGAAAAATACTAGAATGTGCAATCAGAGAATTTTAATATTTTATCTATATACTAAATGCTTATAGTAGATACTTCGTTTCACACAAAAAAATTGTAATAACTTGATTGAAATAAAATCCCCTAAAGTCTTTCATTTATATTTATATCAATAGAGCAGAATAGCTTGCTCTCTCAAAGCGACAGATCTATTTTATAATCACTTGTGTATATCATCTAGTTAATATGATAGCAGGGGGAGTTTGTAAAAAGTTAATGGTTACATGGTGCAATTTAATCATTCTGCTTGTTCATCCAGCACAGTTTTCCTAAAATTGTACTTTGCAGTATGTCCAAATACAGGTACTCAACTCATACCATAATGTAACCCTTGTGCTGACATTTTGTTTTCCTCAAGTTAGGATTCAGCCCAATATCACCATTGCAATTTAATTTGATTTTCTAAATGTCAGCCTACATTGCTTTAATTCATAATTGTCTATTTTGGGATGATGGGAGTTCTCAAAGGGATAGTGTGAGATTTTGGCAATTAAGCACCTTTTTTTCTAGTTACGCAGATTCGGATGAACTCATGGATACCATTTTATGTCTCTGCGTGCAGTTTGAAGGAAGTTGAAGGTAGTTTCTGGAGCGATTGCTGAAAAGTGTTAGCACAATGACTGAAAATATATGGGATACGCTAGCGTTATTGCAATCAGCTAGCTGATCCCATAGACTTCCAGTCAAGGCTTAATTGCAAAAATCTTGCACTATCACTTTCACGAAGGAGTGTAGGCTACATCCCTTACATTGCATTACGATTGAATACCTGCCCGTATTGTTATATCCACGTTTGATAGATGAACAACAGAGGTTAGATAGACAAGCACTGACGGTACCTTGCGCTTTTCAATACAGTTTTTCAGACCTTGGCTTTCATCTGGCGACTGGCTTTTCTATATAGGCAGAATGAGAACCTTGGCTGGAGTTCAGTTATAGAACATGCATTTTCACAAATTCTACAGACTACAATTTAATTCCAACCCTTTATTATGAGAGGATGTTAAGAACAGTTAGTAGTTGAGTGTGGAGTTTTGGCACAGTATCAATTATGTGTTGCTTGTTGATTGTTTGATTGATTATGTCATATTGACTGCTATTGTTTACCTGACAAGCTTTGGTGTTTGCAATATAATAGTTTAGCACTGCTTACCATTGTGGATATTATTATATACTTTATTTCACCCTTTACTACCTGTCTTCCTAGATGATGTGGAAAACACATATCCCTCAGTTTGAGCTAATGTAGAATACAGCAGCAACTGCAACAATATGTTTAGAGAGTATAGCAATACACCATATTTTGTTGGTCACATTGGCTTGCTGATGTCTTGATATCCAGTGTAATTTACAAATGTAATGGCTAATTTATTTCACCTACCCTATCCCTTTGTTTGTTTGCTTAAGAATGTTCTTTTCTCAGTGACAAAAAAAAAAAAAGAAAATAATTAAACAAAAAAGGTGAGGTCGAATCCATCAAATATGATGGTATGTGTTGAAATACACTGTTTAACATGTTTGACGATGCACATTTAATTGAGGTTTTCAGGACACATTTACACACATATTGAGAATGTTCATTTGTCGATATCTAAGGGTGAACAAGGAGGCGTATGTGTGTGTGTGTGTGTTTGTTTTTAGTGCACTTACTATCCAATGAAATAGGCTTGAATTAGGAGTGTTGTCTCCAGAGCTTTTTAGTGGTCTGGACTGTGTGTGGTTTGACTTTTGTACCTGGGCATAGGCTAAGGTGTCTTCCCTTTTTTTCACAAAATGCTATCCCCCCCCCCTTTAATGTTTTATCTTACAAACATTCACAATCTCAACTGGCTTCAGATGACTCTTTGTTTTGAAAATTGACCATTATAGAGAGGATACAAAATGATTGGTTATGTTGAGAAGAATACCTATGACAATGTTTTTCCTGTTTTCTATGTTGAAGTTGTTCATATCTGAAGCTATATCCTAACTAGGGAGGCGCCACACCTCTGAATCTGATCTGTTACAATTTTTCAAAATTGTTGTATTAACTTTGCATTATTATCCCTCAAATAATTAATAAAAATGTTGTTAACTAAGTTTGACTGTTGCCATATATAATACATGCAGTGCAGTTCATCATGTAGCCTATATGAACTGACAATTATTGGAGCTGATACAGTGCATTTTAAATGTTCACATAAATAGCATAAAGCCTAGTTAAATGACTTTAGATTTTGTTGATTTATTATTTGAATCACATGACATAGTGTCACTACATATTATACTATATCAAGTCTAACAATTCAATAACCTCTTCCAGTAACACGTGGCCCTGACACATTTGAATCTCTGCCACTATGTTGGCTGGAGAAAGGCCCTGTTGAATATTACCGTATATGAACGTTACCATATGGTGCGTTACAGATCGACAGAACGCCATGAGAGGCACTTTGGGACTACGAGTCCTTTTTGGGGGGTGGTGCTCACGAAAATCTATTTTTGACATTAGGCAATGAAACTACAAGACCCAGAATGCAACTGTTTAAACCCACTCTACACAGCTGATTATCAAATACGGGAAGAGCAATGTCTAACGTGTGCAGAGAAGGAAGGGTCTCAAAGATGGAGTGCGGAGAGAATTCTTCTTCGCTGTCTAATTCTAACAGGTAATTCACTTGACTTGGGGACTGATTGTGGCGACAAGAAGTGAACTATACAAGCTGTTTTTGTTGACTGTTGTTTTTCGTGACAATCTGCATCCTTGGTGAACGTGAACCTACGTTCTGACCTCATGGTTACAAAGGAAGCGCGAGTGCAGTCAGTTCAGAAAGCATCCGTACGCTGTATCAGTTATGGAAGGCAGGAAGTTTCAATGTATTTAATGCATGGTCTGTCGATATAGATACAGAAAGCACTAGGTTCGGTTAACTCTTTCAATATAGGCCTTCATCATGAAGGCCTCATGTCTTGCAGTTGTGCGTAATTGTGGTTTTTGACAGCTTCCGACATGTATAACCTGTTAATAACTCAACTAATAGTGCTCGTGACAGTTTTCTATAGGTGGACTTCACTGCGCATGTTTTCCCAAAATAATCCAGGCACATACCGTTCAAAAACATGCCCCTAATATAATAGAGCCAGTTTTTCAACTTTT